TAAAAATACATGGGATTTATCATTATCAGAATAACCCATTTTAGTTTAAAAAAATTAAAATGGGTTATTCTGATGATGAAAAATAAAACAGAATTAAACTGTATTATTCAAATAATAATAATGTGCAAAAGTTCTTCAGGAATATCGGCAAGTTTATTTTTGAGGAGAATCCCGTCAACGAGCACTGTAAAAAATGTGTCCAGAAAACAACCCCGATCTCAGTCCTTTAGACATATTTTTGTGAGGACACTTCAACAAAATACACTTTAAAGACCTCAAAATTTACAAGTATTGAAAGAAAAAATACAGGACGAAATGTTTGATAATTCTGAACTTGCATGTTGATTTGTAAAAATTGTAGGTATTTTAATGTTATTTCGTTTTTAGGTATTCTCCTTATGTTGTTGTAAAGGTTAGTTATAAAAATCGTTGTTTGTTATTTTCATAAGGATGAATTTTAATTTTTTTAATGATTTTTTTTTATTTTAAACATATTTTATGCCAGTAAATTTTGATGTCAAAAGAAATAAAGAAAAAGTCGTACATTTGTATTTAAAGTTTCTTTCTATCTTTAATTATTAAACCTATAAGTGGATGTCAAAATACAAAAAAAAACGTGTATCTACATTTCGCGACGTACTAATAACCCACCTTGTATATTAAATAAATTTATCGTCATCATCAAATATTACAAAAATTATATTACTAGCTATTTAAAATATCATTACGAATTTTGTTTATTTGGAAATATATTTTCTGTAGTATTTCAATACCAAAAAATGAAAATAGTAGGTAGCTAATTAACGAAATTATGATTAAATAACTTAATTGTAAGTACTGCAGAATATTATATGAAACTACATAGATATTCGTCGATTCTTTAAAAACATTTTTATCAATACCTACATCATACATTTCAGTAAATACAGTAACGCAAAACACAGATATTGATAATAAAAGCGTACAAAAGAAATCCGTAAGTATGCCTGGCAACATTACCAAAGTCTTGTTTATATATTGCTAGGATACGCGTAGGTATGCGGGCCGCTGCATTTGATTCTTCCTAAAATTCTGCTGGTGGTGTACTCTACCGGCAATTCGGAAATTTAAAACTGCTGGCCTATCCAATAGCGGTCTGAGGCGATAGCTATTTTGTCTGTGGTTACATAGAAGACGTATCAAATTGTTAGTATAAATAATTAGATTAATAGCCAAATAACACCCTGTAGTTTGAATATGTTTAAGTAGGTATTCTCAAGGTTTGAGATTTTCTTCTCATTAGCTAATCAATTTCCGAGGTTTTCTTATATGAGTCATTTACACATATGGATAATAATTATTGCAGCTATTGATTACTTATATTAAAATCAGGGTAGGCTCCAGCCATATTGTGTACAAACAAAATTGTATGTCCCAGGGCATACTACTGCGATAACCAAAGAAAAATGTGAAGATTTTCATACTAAAATTTTCATCAGTTGAGAATTTTTTATTTCTTAATAATTCTGACATGTTTTGAACAAAACAAACTTAAAATAATTGAGTGGTATTATCGAAAAAATAAAATATTCAATGCCGTTGGTATGGGGGTACCGATGTCGTTATAAATAAATAATTATTAATTTGGAGACCTTGCATAATTTTTCGAAATAAGTAGATTTATGGTTTTCTAGATAATTCCAATTTTCGATACATTTGCGATCAAATTAAAGATATTAGTGCACACAAATTAATTAGTAGGCTTTGAATATGATATATCAAATTGTTTCAAATAAATAACAGGCTGCTTTTATAAAGTTTCTGTTCTTAATCCAGGTTAAAAATATTTTCCTCAGTTGACTCAAACTCAAGTTGTATATTGGCTGAATTATATTGAAATTAGAATTATTAATCATGTTTTTTAACCTGGTTTAGGACAGAAACTGCTTATTCTAGCAGTCTATTACCCTTATTTTAACAGAAAACAATTTCAGGGCATGGTTTGGTTTAAATTATGAACTTAATATTTTTTTAACCTACCTGTTCGATTTATTTGTCAGTATAATTACAAGTTCCATAACTGGCACCGCCTGATTTGGATGCAAGTCTAACTACGGCTACCCAAATTCACCGAGGGATGAGGCAATCACGCCCTCCTGTCGTCATTATTTACATAGTTTACGATCAAGCTAGCTTTAAAATACATACAGGGCATTGTTTTCGTTTTATGATTGTTTTTTATTGGATCATGGTTGGCGATTTTCGGTTCAGCGGCACTTTTATAATATGCTTAGAAACAAAGGAAAATGACAGCCGTTTTTTTAAACGGACCAATTTTCTGCAATAAACAAAAACTTTCTACCAGTGAATGGACTGTGCGTTATTTCTAGTGGTGGGTGGTAAAAATTAAAGTGCTCATGTTTTGATAATAGAGTGTAGGATCCATACTGTTTTTTAGGGGATGATTGTAGGCCTACATTAAATTTCAAATGAAGTGAAATAAAAAATTGAAATAAGGGAAGCCTCCGCTTGCACTTTTTATTATTAACTGTATGTACCTACACATCAGGTATTTTTTTTTATTTTTCACGAAATTACATTTTATAAGGTATCAAACTTTTACAATAAAGAAAAAATATGAAAGCTAATAATAGAAAATATATTTAAGAAAAAATCTATGTTAACTAATCATAATGCATATAATGCAGCATTAATATGAATATTTCTTTTATTCTGAAACTTACAAGATAAGACGCTAACTAGCGGATCTGGAAGTAACGGTAAATTACCGTTACCAATAATATCGCCCAGGAAACAAATAGTTTAGTGACTAACCGACTTCAAGGAGTCTTAAGTACTTAGTGTGTCCCTTAGGTAAAAATATAACAAGGATATAGCATTAGAAAGGTAGGAAGTATTTGCTGTCTCGTCATAAATAGAATGTAATGGCTTTTGGGCATTAGTTGTAAGCTTAAGTATTTGTACAATAACAAAAAAGAGATAAGAAAATTGTAAGAATATAAAAAAGTCGACTGACTTTGTTCTGAAAGCAAAATATATAAAATTTTCTCCACACAAATGTATGATAGGTAACTAACAATCATTCAAAAACTCAGGAAATGTGACATAAGTGTATAAGAAGATGTTGAGTAGTTTCAGTTCTGGTTTATTACAAATTTGAGTCAAACTATCGTTCAAAAAAATAATTAAAATAGTTTCCTATTATATGGGTTTAAAAATAATAATAATAGAGATTTATTAATATTTTAAATAACAATTTAGCCCCATCATTAAAAAAAAAACAATGTATTGTATTGAAATTAGGTAGAAACAAGTTTCTGAATGTGATATTTCACAATTGTTGTTAGTTTTTGACCATAAAAATATATGTATAAGGGGTGTTTGACTGTCATTACTTCAGCATGAGATAGGGTAATCATAAATGAACAAAAAGTTGCATATTACAGGGGCGTAAGATTAATAGTTTTCAAAATACAGCAAGTATTAATATTGGGGAGTTTCATCACAACGTGATAACAGCGCTTAACCTAACGCTACACAGCTGGTGCATACCACGTGTGCACGCGACAGACTTGTCCTATGGAAAAAACGTAAACAACTATTATTGTGAAACACTTAATAAATTTCAAGACAATTGTTTTCTAGTTTTTAAATAAATAAAATAAAATGTATCGATTTTGTAGTACGAAGGTAGTGTTGTGCTTAAATTTTAGCTCGAATTTTAGTAATTATGAATCTCTTAAAACAGGAACNGTATATATTCGCACGCGATAAACAATTGCGCACGGCGCGGTAGCTACGTTCAGACGTATTGCGCAGCGAAAGGGTTAAAGGCAGGAGATGGGCGATGCTGCTTCAATTTCTACGTCACTTGTTTCCCACGCCGTAGTTTAATCATGTATTGGCCGCCTCGTTGCCATGGCAACCGCCGTAAACAATGCTACGAAGAGAAGCAGAATACAGACTGATTTTAATCTGCGTCACTTGTTTATACTATACGTTGTATGGTCCGAGGTTGATGTTCGCGCTCAACGAAGGCAATGTTTTTTTAGAAGGCGTTCACTGCGAAACTATTCTGTTTATTTCTGCGTATTAAACAAACAAACACAATAATTAATACCTAAATTATAAAATTAAAAATAATTTTAAATTGCACAACTAAACGAAAATTCTAGGTGAAGCGGTGCGTCATTTGTGTCACCTGACGAGCCGCCACTGCTCTCCCCTTTATTTCTTCTCTGTTGGCTGGACTTGCTTTATATGCTCTTGATTTAAGTATACTTCACATGAAGTGTTATCATTTAAAAAGAGTAAACTGATGAACATTTTATTTATTTATGCCAAAAATTCGAAGAGACAACGAAAATAGACCGTCGTGTCGGATTTCAACAATAGAACAATGTGCGTATATTCACATCGAAACCGTATGCAGTAAAAAAGTGCTCAAAATTCATGCCTTGTTAAAAGAAGGCTTACTGTGAATCTTTCTTCAGAATGTCTTTAGCACAAAAATTCATAAACTGAGTTCAGGAATGTTGCAAAGTGGTGTGTTGATGTTGCACATCAGAGCACTGATCATCGAACTTATTGAAAAATACTGCTGGGGACAATACCGCCACCCATCTTATAGTCCCGATCTGAGCCCACTTGACTTCAATCTTTTCCCTAAGCTAAAGGAACCCCTTCGAGGGGTGCGTTTTCCGATGCTGGAAGGGCTCTGAAGAGAATGGGAATGAATATTTTTTCACGAAATTCTGTTTACTCGATGTATAACTTGACTGACTATTTGATTAAAAAAAAATTCTGATCAGTATTCTGGAGAACACGTATCATGACCCCTATAAAACTGCCCCCTTAGTTTCACAATGTATTTGAGTAATTTGTGCACTTATGAAAAAACGGCATATAGGTACAGCTCTTGTTGCAAAGTATAATATTTTGGCAGATTCCTATATGCTGTCTATTTTATTAAAGACACTGCACTCATTTAATTTTCAGGCTCATACGATTTGGACTTCAAGAACCCCCAGTCCGACAAGAGCAAGTGGCTGACCCCCGAAAAGCTCCAGGGTCTCTACCAAGAATTCATCGCCGAGTACCCCATCGTCTCCATCGAAGATCCCTTCGACCAAGACGACTGGGCCGCGTGGACCTCCATGACCGCCGCCACCAAAATCCAAATCGTCGGCGACGACCTCACCGTCACAAACCCCAAGCGCATCCAAACGGCTGTCGAAAAGAAAGCCTGTAACTGTCTGCTGCTGAAGGTCAACCAGATCGGTACGGTTACCGAATCCATCAAGGCTCACCTGTTGGCCAAACAGAACGGCTGGGGCACCATGGTCTCCCACAGGTCCGGGGAAACCGAGGATACTTTCATTGCCGACCTGGTTGTGGGACTGTCCACCGGTCAGATCAAGACCGGCGCCCCCTGCAGGTCGGAACGTTTGGCCAAGTACAACCAGATCTTGCGTATCGAGGAGGAACTGGGCGCCAAGGCTAAGTATGCCGGAAAGTCATTCCGCAAGCCACAGTAAGCGATTGCATTGTGGGTTGCATACTTGTAGGGCGTACTAGCTTACTCTGTAGTTTACACGGAATTCAAATCTGCCAGTCTGATGTCTGTAATGTTGTTCATTCGTCGTGTAACCGATAGGATATTTTTCCGAATTGTATTTGTGGAATTTTTTTCAAGAGTAAGTCGGCCCTTTGTAGTGTAAGGCGCAAGGCATGTATGATATACATATATAATATACTTTGTATTAACTTTATTATTTATGGTATCATGTATAAGAAATACACACATTTTAGTGTTACGTTTGTTTTATTTTCCTTTGAAATTTTTTACACTGTGTAACAAACGTCTGGAGTTTTTAATGAGCAATTATGGGAAACATCTACTCTGCAGACTAAAGCACCTGTCGGCATTGAATCTTGCCCAAGCTTAGCAGCGAAGGTCATTTGTTAGTATCTGAGACTATAACAATAATATGTAGTAGGTTATATCTCTCGGAAGACTGATATTGAGTGTATAACACAGATCAGATAGACTGCACAGTTGGTCACCAACATGAGAACCAACGACGGCGAAATGTAAGGGAGTAGAATGTGTAAGTTGATTAGGACTTTTCAGAAAGATTAAAACCAGTGCACCCACAGGGACCTGTTTTGTGAAAGTATTTTTCAACTTATTCAACTTTTCATTCTACATAATTAGAAAAGTGAAGAGTAATTCTGTTTTATAAAAAAAACGTCATTTACATTAATGTTATGTGTTTTATGAAGCTTTAACTTTTCAATTTTCAATCTGCACCCTCAGTGTATCTACAAGGTGGGCCACCAGTAACGCCTCGGTCGCTAAGGACCAAACGGTAAATGTTATAGAAACCTGTTTAGGTGGGTACGTGTAGGTTGCTTATGGCTACATTTTCAAAATATTTTAGACATTTTTTTAAAGACCTGAAAATTTACAAGTATTGAAAGAAAAATACTCGACGAAATGCTTGATAATTTTGAATTTGTTTTTGAAGCAATTAATAGTAAATTAAAACATATTTTCAACTGTATCATCACAATTACTAGTCCAGGAGAATTACACATTGGCATAGCTGTTGCTTGACGTAGATTAGATATTAGTAAAAATCGGTCGAAAATAATATAAACAATGAAAATATAAGGTTGCGCCAAGAAAAAAAGTTGTGCTATTCGCAGAAAAAATTAAAAACTGCAAAAATACTCAAAAATCACGTGTTTTTCCTAACATTTTCCAATATAACTTCTTAAATATGCAGTTTACAGAAAAAACTATTACTGCTGAAATTGTTTGTTATGAAATTTGCTATAAGACACAATTGTTTTGAGACCTGCGTATTCAATATTTTTGTTGCTAGAAAGCCAAAACAGCGTAAGAAAGTGATGAAAATCGAGGTAATTTTGAAGCGTTCAACTGATAGGTAAGAAATTGTCCAATTCTACTATAAATGTACATGTAAGTACTTTAAAGGATTACAAAACGAAATTCCAAAACCCGATCGAAATCGGTCTGATAGTTTTGGTATGAGACAATTTGTTACTAAATTTCAGCGCGAAATGTCGTTATTTTTTTGCGTCAGTGCTGGGGTTAAAGTTAGGCATTTTAATTGGCGCTGATTTTTTTACACATACTTGGACTCTTTAACTATCATATAGAATCGTTATAATATTAATTTTCTTTTTTTTAATAATTTTTGGAGCGATTTTAAAAATTCGAAAAATTTTAACTTTATAAACAAATACTTTCGTGAAGCCGTTTTGCGGGTTGGAATATATACCAAAGTACTAAAAAATAGTTCTCGGAAAGACGCTTAACTTGAAAAAAAGAACGTTCAAATCGGTCACATAAGTTCCGAGATATCAAGTGTCAAAGTCAACAAGCGTTAGCTGCAAAACTATGCATAATGTAACAACAACAAAAATTGAATTTGGTAGGTTTTTTAAGAACTTTTCGTATGTGCTTTTATAAATATTATCGCACGTGTGC